GTTGGGAATAAGGCCCGGCCATGTGGCCACGCGTGCATTCAGACTTAAGGTAAGCAGAGACGGCGGCAGGGTTGAGCAATGCGGAAGGGAGATTAGGGGCGATGAGGCGGGATCTATTACCGTGATAGCCAATGCGGGCCCCGAAGCGCATGTCGTGACAGAGAGAATGCGCAAAATCGTTATCGGGGTGCTGGGATAGCTCTTCAAACAGCAGGGGAATATTTACAGGGGACCAAGGCGCGTGTGAGCTAATTGGAGCTGCGGGGTTGGCCAGCAGAGCATGTGGATTGGCCATGACCGAGGCGGCCGCAAGAGAGGCAGCTGTGGGCGAAGCGGCAGTTGGAGCGGACGCACTTTCCTTGGTTGAAGAGGCGGCATACTTCTTTGTCGACCGTGTCGTTGCCGCTGCTGGGCCGAAAGGAACGAGCGTCGTTGCTGCTGTTGGGCCGAAAGGAACGAGCGTCATTGCTGCCGGTGGGCCGAAAGGGACGAAATGCCCGCGCGTCAAATATGATTGTGTATAGGTCCTGGACTATTGCGTCCCACCGCATGGTTGGGTCCGCGGCCAGGAGTGAGCGGAATGATCGGTCATACTCCTGCACGGCCTCAAATCGAAATTTCCGGGCTACTTTCAGGATAATCTGCTGGTATGCAAACAGCTCTGGGGCCCTGGAGGGGTGTGCTGTGGCGTAAATCGCGCAGTATGTTGTCCAGGCGTCGAGCCAGGTATCGATGTCCTCGACCTTCCTGGAGGGCCTGTTGGCCGGTGCTAGGACCACTGCGCCGTGCGAGCTGTCGTGGTCGATCTGGAGAATGCTGCGGCTGGTGTCCCCTTGGGACGCGTTAGGCAACAATGAGCCCAATTCAACAAATTGGCCAGTTACTACTTTATCGTGAATGGCTTTCGGCACGGTTGCATAAAACGTTCTCTTACCTGCGGGGTTCATTGGCGGTGAGACGGCAGCCGCCAAATGCGGAGCAGGCAGAGCGTCCTGCGGAGTTGCTGGTGCTTGCCGTGGGAGTGCCGCTGTGTGAGCTGGCGGTGGGGGTGCCGCTGCGTGAGCTGCCGGCGGGACTGGAGCTGCGGCCTGATTTCCAAGGGCAGCACGGACCTCCTCCCGGATAATGTCCCTCAGGGACGGAGCAGCAGTTGCCTGGGGTAGGTTCTGCTCGGCTGCCTGAGTGGCCAAGTCCTCGCGCACTGCAGTGAACTCCAATGACTCGAGCAGGCGAGTCAACAGCCTGGGTTTGGTCCCCGTCGTGTCTAAATTGCGGGCCGCCAGTTCTTGTCGCAGCTCTACAGAGCGCATTTTCTTGGCGTCGTTCACTGACAGAGATTCAGACATGGTTGCTCGGAAATGGAAAGTGCTCAATGCTCAAAAACTGGCCAAGGTTGTCAAGCGATCTGACTGTTGGCGCAGTAAGGATGAAGAAGAAACAGCATCGAGAGCCGGAGTAATGCGCATGCTCCGCGTGGTCCCGTGCCGGAGCGCGGGAGTTCGGAGTGCGTGTTCTGCACGGGCACGTGATGCGCTATGGCAAGTACGTGCAAATTATGTTAGGAATGTAATTGTTGGTGGGTTGCTAACTTCACTTACCGTGCCATGCACGGAAACTTATATCTTACTCTCTAGGCTTTTCAGCGCCGGGCAAAGTGAGCATGGGGCATACGACATGCTGGCTTGGGCTAATCTGGCAATTGCCATGAACCCAGAGCATGATCAGCACAATGACAATGTGGCTATCTGACTCGGTTGCCATTCCTTACCTGACATTGTCGTCATATAGGGTGCTGCTAGACATGTTTGCCCCAGCGCTCAGACTATCGCTGCATTCCATGCCAAAAGAACATCAGAGAAGGACGGCAAACATTTCTTGAGGAGTTGCTGAATGCCAGACTGGTGGCCTGAAAACAGCAGGAAAACGAGAGCATGGCAAATGCTTACAGGCAGAGAGCACGAACACTTCAGGACGCGAGCGGTAAAACACCGTATTTCAAGTTCAATTAAGTGTATGTGCAATTTCTGAGTGTGAATTTTGTGTTTGAACCATCACCATAGCGTCTGAGGTGCACCGTCTTTGGTACACCACCTGTATATGTAGGCACTGCATGCCTGTCACCTGGCATTGGAGAAAGCCTCAGGTACATGATGTCACCTGCAACAAACTTAAAGGAAGCAAACAATAGCATCCCGTAGCATGTTTCAGGCGTGCCAGTGAGACTTTATCGCTGGCAGGTAGAATGTTCTAGTGATAGATGGGCACACAATAAATGTACCCCGTCACTCAACCACTGCCCCATCATGTGGTTTTCAGTAGCTTCGCCAGCTGTCAGACCATTGTCTACCGTGTTCCTGCACTTCGCAAGAAGCAAGCGGCTAAAGCTCTCCGCTGCCGATGAGCAGCTTTCGAAGCGGAACTTTACCGCACGGGTTGCCTTGGCACACCTGAGCGTATAAATACAGTGAACGAAGTTAGTAGGTACTGCCATTCTAGAGATCATTTATCACAAATTGTGAGCGTGGACACTTTGCTTAGGCACGTACAATGGCATCCATTATCCAGTATGACCACGATTCTAGTTTAAGTGCATCTGCTGCATCATCCGCTGTGAAGACCTATGCTGATAGCCGCCACACGAGTAAATCGCTCAAGGTCTTAAAATCAGCACCGGCTGACAGTACGAACATAGCAAGAGTATATATCGTTCCGGGAAGTGCTAGCAGAATTGATATTGATTCAGACACTGCCGGTGAGACACGTGGATCCAGACCTAATTCCCATGGTAAGGGACACTTCTTAAGCGTGAATGAGGGATGTTTCCGCTCATCCGAATTCTGTGTGTACGCACAGAGAAACTCTGATAACACATTCACTTCAGTTTCGAAATCGCTGGTGTGAGGACTAAAGTGAAAGGGGTGCATCCTAAAATTGGAAAGAATCACAGCCTGTAGTCTTTTAGCCTCTGAGTTGGTCTCTTTTCTTAGGAAGCTATGACGCTAAATTAGTTCTTATCGCAGTTGTACATGTTTACGAGAATATGAAGAGTTTGCCTTACAATAATGGTGATTTGAAAGGAAATTTTCAACAAAAGCACCTCCTTCTCATGGAAACTTCCATGAAAGACGAAATTTTAGAACCGTGTGTGCTGAACTTGATCAGTGTCTGTCTGGAGAGGAACCAATGCATCATTCATTCCTTACTCCCAATTCATACAGCCCTCTTTCCTATTTCAAGCATGTACTGAAGACAGGTGCCCCCGACTAGTGCACCAGCAAGTACTCGAGTGCTGTGACCTTGTACATTGATGAATCTCTCTCTTCAAAACTTGTCACTTACTGGTGAAATGGAATCGGCACCATACTTGCATGTAAACTACTCTCTGTTGCAGTTCCGTGTAGCTAGTTTGCACTGACTCCGTCTGAAACTCATTCGAGTTCAAACTTCATGACTATTATATTAACCCGACTGCTGCATGGACGATAAGTGCTGCGAATAGTGATCATGCACCCTGGCCTGAGTAGCTCGCTTGGCTAATTGAAAGTCTGCCGACCTGGGCCACGTCATGTTGCTAATACATGCACAACCCCAGTCACAGCGCACAAGTTGGTTGAGTTTGGCCGTCAGGGGGCCAGCGCAAGGTATCCGGGCGCGGGTCTGATTCCAGCGAGGGGCAATGTGGTACCCCGCAGCACAAGGTAGCGTGATACCCTACGCCAACGTGCGCGCTGCATGAGTAGCGTGATACTCGCCGAGCGCTTTTGCTGCTGCCTAGCAACGCGTTTCTGTCTTTCCTGGGCCCCCAAATGCATGTTGGGTGGCAATGCGCATGACTGCACGTTGCCATAGCAACCTTGGAAATCTCAAGCCGGTTACCATTAAGCTAGAAATCAGACCAAGCCGCTGAATGCCCCCGCCGGCCACCGGCGCTTCATTGCAATTGAATTAATATTTTGTCCAGAATATTGAGCTAAGACAGATCAAAATACAATGTAGCTTGGAGTACCATCATGCTGAGTGGCACTCATTGTGAGACGTCGGATAGTGTAGAGCGATAATAAATTCCAGGAGGCGTGGGTGGAAGGGAGAAATTGCAAAACAGTTGGATGCACGCAGCAGCACAGCTGCTAAGAGAAGGAAGCCGTGGATGGGATTGTTCCTGTTTTTGATGGCTGTGGCCATCCGTTGGCCCAACGGTCTCGTGTGAGTACGGCGTTTGTTTGTGCTGCCAGCTCGCGCCCGGCGTTTGTTTGTGCTGCCAGCTCGGGCCCGGTGCGCGAGTGAAACTGAACCGTGAAAAAGGCTTTCGCTCTTTAGTGCTATTGACTGGCTTTTCATACAATGCCTATTGATGTCTAGAGACATGCTGTCTAGCCTTCCCCTGGTACGCATTCGTGGGGCTTTGTTGAAGTTCGTGCCGTGAACTGCCAAAGGGAATTGTTTGAATGGTGCTGGGGCGAGTGCTACATTACGGCGTCCCTGCAGCCGGCCTAATCGCGTTGGTCGCCACAACCGACTTTGTCATAGAATGATCTAAACTATACCGTGGTTTCAGCCACTCAAAACGCGTCAATCCGATATCCGTTTCATTTGCTCAGGCCTGACGGTAGAGTGGTGGGTTTTAAAGCCATGGTCGAGAAGGCCTATTTATCCATCTCCTCTCCAGCATACCAGACTGTTGCGCCGCTTGTGTCTTTATCCTTGAACAGTGATTAGCGCTATGCTCCTGGAACATTCCATGTACCGATGTCAAATCTATCGACAAAAATAGTTTTCTTGGCTCAATTGCCACCAAAATGACAGCTGAATCTTCTCGCCAACACATCCCTCAGATTAGTAATGAGGCAAAGGTTCACAACACAAGGTCAAAGGCTTCAAAACCAAGAAACAAATGTTCAGGTTAGCAACTTCCGACCAAAACTCTTCGACTCTGGGCCAAGAAGACCATGCTATCTCTGTCCTTCTTTTCTCCTGCCCACTTCTAATGCTGTCTTATCCAGGACGACCAGACGCTACATCTACACTGCCAAGTACATCAAGTTACACCAATGCAGGATATCTTGTTCTTTCGGATCCACAAAAGTCAGATCACCTGAAGGCATTTGCTGAGAACGTCGGACACCAAGTGCCAGAAGTGAAAAAAGTGGAAAAATCATGGTGGTGGTGTACGATATTATAGGTGTACACAATGTCATAGATCGATGATGATGGTGGTGCGGTAGTGCTGGTTCCTGGCTTCAGCGGGGGTAGCCCCTCATATGCTGACACCACTCTTGGTGGGATTACACGTATTCTCAAGTCTGTATTTGTGCATAGCCTGATTTAGCAGCATTCTTAGACATTTCAACCATAATGCAGAATTTCGTTCATTTTCATTTCTTTATAACTTTATCAGAGTGTCACCGTTTCATTTCCCCAGACTGGTGACCCCTGTTCATTTCCCCAGACTGATGAGCCCTTTTCATTTCCCCAGACTGGTGACCCCTTTTCATTTCCCCAGACTGGTGACCCCTTTTCATTTCCCCAGACTGGTGACCCCTTTTCATTTCCCCAGACTGGTGACCCCTTTTCATTCCCCCAGACTAATGACCCCTTTTCATTTCCCCAGACTGATTTAGCATGATCATTATACATACAACCTCAGTGGAAATGGTGCACACCCTTCTCGTACATAAAGCGGTAATGAGAATATGTACTGCCTGGTGGGAGCCTATGTCATTCTAAATATTGATGGTCTTACCACCTGCTGATCGGCAGTGCCAAAATATGTGTCGTGGTAAAACATCACCAGTGGTTTTAGCCTAGCACTTTGCCTCGTTTCCTCTGATTAATGAATATTCCTCTAATCGATGAGTCATTTCATACTTTGCGTTTGGGACATATATCACTAAGTCCCTCTTCAGTTGGTGGCATTGCAATTCGGCCCCAGCCTGACCAATGGTTTTGGCTGAAAGAAGACTGGGGAATCCCCCTTTTAAAGAAACCTGCAGGCCCAGCCAACTCCTGGGGGGAGGGGGGGGGGTACCGTCCCAGGTCGGCTACATAACTGATCATTTCCCATGCCCACGTAAAGAGTCATATCTCGCTGTATGAGAAAACATGATATTATTGGATTGTTTCAGCTACATATTGCAATAGCGACAGTTATACAATTAGCACAGCATCCCTCGCTGGGCAAAAAGAACAGTTCAGGAGGAAGAGACTCTAGCTAGGATAGGCTAATAGGGCCTCCTACATAATTAAATCTATCATACATTCCACGAAAGCTGAAGTTGGAGAAATACTGGTCCTGCCACTTGTTCACCAGCTGTGCCAAAGCCGCCGGCCGTGGCAGATAAGACCCGGTGGCCACCACAATGCGCATTAGTCATGTAGCTGATCCTGTGACCATGGGTCCATGATGTAACACTTTGGGATCTTCAACCAAAAATACGCAGCTACTCCCAAGGGCTGTTGTGCATCAGGCACTGAGTGCATTTTAGCCGGTGATCAATGTTTGACACAAAACCAGTCCAGTGGTGGATGCATGTGTTACGAAAACCCGCCATGGCATAGGCGCATGCCTGCTAACATCCCCTTTCTCCTCCCCTCCCTCATGGTTTTACTGCATTATGGCGCGCTTTGTCTGCATAGACGATGAGAACCTTATGGTCGGCAGAGCATCCTGGCCACGCCACCACTTCTGGCACATATTCGGTAATACAGTGGACTTCTGTGTAAAAAAAATTAAAAAATAGCTCTCTTCACAGATCTGACAATCCGGGTAGTTTCCCCTTACCACTGATCGGCCACAACTTCGAGGATTAGTATCAAACCTGACTCGAGAAGGGATGTAAACGCTGACAGCAATGCATGTAAATTGCAGTAGTCTGAAGAAGAATGCTCACCGATCAGTCAAAGCAGCCGATGCAGGGTTTGGAAACACGTCACATGAATGAAGAGAGCCCAGTAGCTGCCTCTATGCAGCACCTGTGGCAATCATTCAACTGTCCTGTTTGACGTATGAACAGAAAGGGGAAAAGAGTGGTTTTACCCCAACTAAGCTGCTCCAACAATACCTGATTTCTATCCAGCATAAGTCTAGCATGGGTAATGCGATCACAATGCTGTCGGTAAAAAGTGACTCACGTACCATCTGCCCACCTGACTACCGTACATGTATGTATAACTATTTACTATCTAGGCTTTTCAGCGCCGGGCAAAGTAAGCATGGGGCATACGACATGCTGGCTTGGGCCAATCTGGCAATCGCCATGAAGTCAGAGCGTGATCATCACAATGACGGTGTGGCTATCTGGTTCTGTTGCAATTGCTTACCTGTCATTGTCGTCATATAGGGTGCTGCTAGACATGTTTGCCCCAGGGCTCAGACTATCACTGCATTCCACGCCAAAAGAACATCAGCGAAGGACGGCGAACATGGCTTGAGGAGTTACAGAATGCCAGACCGGTGGCCTGAAAACAGCGGGAAAACGAGAGCATGACAAACCCTTACAGGCAGAGAACATGGACACATCAAGACACGAGCGGTAAAAACACCGACTTTCAAGTAGCAGTTAGTTGTGCTACGTAATGCACTATTTTCATAGCCATCGTCACCGGACATGATTTCGTGTGCTGTGGCCCATCCATTGGGCAGCAACGAAGGGACAGCACCGACTTTCCGCAACCACTTCACGGCACCACGGGTATAAAAGGAAGCAAAGAAGCTAGAAAATCACATCCTATAGTGCAAGTATCTGCAAATACTGAACGTGAACATCGCGTTTGAATTTTCACCATGGCATCCGAGATCCAATATGCTCATGATTCCAGTATGACAGGGCGGGAGGCCCATACGGCTTTGAAGGAGTACGCGGATGATACAAAGAACACCCAAATGAGCAAAACACTAAGTATCAAGAAGGCAAGAGGCTCTGGAGATACATCGAGTACTACAGCATTGACAGCCATGGCGTATGTGGCACCTAGCAGCCGCGGCCGCAATGACATCGAAACAAGCGCTGAGTCCGTGAAGACTGATCACAGCAAACATTACGGTAAGGACTACATGCTGCAAATCCAGGGTGAATCCAAGAAGGGGAGTCAGGAATAATATAACAATTATTTCAAATGTATACCCGTATCTAAGCATGCCCTTGTTGAATTTTCAGTAGGGGCGCAGTCAAGGGAGCAATGCACCTATTTCAGTTTCTTTCCTGCGTCTCGGCCCTGGCTGTTTTTCACTCCGTCCCCTTTGAAGTTACGAGCTCCGTGCAATGGAATTAGCTCCCACTACATACATTGCCCATTACCCCCTCGACTCAAACATGGTCTCTCTGCTGAATACGTAAGTTAACTTGAAATGTTGATGAAAGTTTCAAGTAACGTATGCTGCAGCGAGACCATGTTTTAGTGTTGGAGTTGAGGTACGCTAATGGGCAAATGGCTGCAGTGGAGTCTGCATGTGAGTACATAGAAAGGTGTACCTACATTGCCACCGGCTTTGCCCGTCATCTATACAACGCACACTAGCTCTAGTGTGTCATGCATGTACTAGTTACGCCAATGCGATTGCTTCTTGTTGACATGGATTCACACTCATTACAGTTCTACCGATCATTAGTAGCCATGAGTGATGGCAGTGTAATGCAGTCCCTCAGACTCAACTGTGGCCTCAGACAGTTCCTTTGACCCTCCCGCTCTCCCCCCCCCCCCCCCCCCAACATCCACCCTCCATCCCTGCAAAACCTAACTACAGTCAATAGAAAAAGGTGACTTTCGAGTGACTTACACAGCTCTGGGGGTCCCATGTCGACAACCCCTGCCCCGCCCCGCCCAGATTTGTCAAGGTTGTCCTGGGATATGAAGCCTGTGGATTTCCAGAAAACGTCTGCTTATTTCAGAGGCTTGATTCAAGAATCTCTTTGCATGAAATCGGAACGCTGGTTTGAAAAGATGAGAGAGAATCACTAGATGATAAAGCACCAAGACATGAACACTACTCAGTAGTAATCATGTTTGGACGAGCCCCACTGACCAGTTATAGGCCTCAACAATTTAGAGGTCCTAAGCTGCTTCCGTGAATGCATATGTAGTCTCTAGAATACTACTGCTTTGAGTTCTTGAAAGCCTTCATGTCCAGATTTCATTATGAGATTAAATTGTTCCATAGCTAGCCAGATTTTCACTGAAATATCATGCATGCCAAGCGGTTATGGTCACTGGAAAAGTGCTTTCTTTTCTCTAGTTGTATGCAGAAATTTTGCACGTGCTGTCAAGGGATTGAGGTTGCTTAGGTTGGTGTCAGTAAGAACCACAAACAAAACAAACTGCATTGGTTGTTCATTGGTTGTTGGTGAGATAGGATGGTACTAACGGTGATACTCTGCGTCATCCCTCAAATAAAGATAATAATGATAAAAAATCCCCCCCCCCCCCCTCCTCTCATGTAGATTGGGTTTCATAGAACACACAACGATGGACAACGAGAGTTCAGCAAACCCCAAGCACTGCTTCACACTGGCGCATGAGACACAATAGTCAGCAAGGCAGCAGGCAGCACGCCCAACACACACACACACACACACACACACACACACACACACACACACACACACACACAAACATACACACACAGAGTACTCGAATACACAGTCACTTACATGTAGTTGTGATGTCCTACAGAATTAGTTCTCTCTGTGCCTCTCACCCATCTCTTTATCTCAATCTCCTTCTCTCTCCCTCTCTCTCTCTCTCTCTCTCTCTCTCTCTCTCTGACGGTGTCCCAATCAGGCAAGCCAATGCTGGTCATTGTGCCCGATACAACTAATGCCAGTGATGGTGCAGGCAGCGGTCCACCGAAGCCATCAAGCTACAAGGCTGCCGGCTACGAAGTCTTCACGGATTCGACAAAAACATCTCAGCAGAAGAAGTTTGCAAAAAACGTCGGACACCAGAAGTAAACCACCAATCGTGACCACACTGGAGCGAAGATTACTGTATTACTAGTACTTCTTATTTACCATGTTTACCTTGCTCCATCAGTGCATGTTCCCTGCAGCAGAATAGAGAGCAAGCGAGAAGACATACTGAAATTCCCTCTTACATCTTGCTAATTTCCCTAGTAGTCTACTATTATTTTTAGTTTTTTGAGACTCGCGGCACTGTGCGAGTAACACGCGACCTTTGCACCATGTGTGCATAGTTTATCCCACCGTGTAGTTTTCACTTACTTTTGTCTTTGTTGCAGAGCGCCGCATGCATGCTCAGTCTAGCCCGCATCATTCACGCCCTGCATTCTCTGTAGCCCTGTGCCTGTGGCCTTGTACTAAGTCGTGTAGCGCCAGCCTAGCGCCTGTACCCAGGCTGTGTACTGTTGAGTAGGAGTTTTGCAGTACGCCCGATGTCCCGATGTAATTCTGGATTTGTGGTGTTACAGCCATAATCCGATGTATCCGCTTTTGAATTTTTTATTCTCACTATGGCACCATTGCCAGTACGTTGTCTGTACTATTGCAATTTTCCTCTTTCTTGATAAACGATTTGCACTTCGGAACGTTTGATATTGAGTGCCGTCATAAGCTCACTAGGTGCTGATTCCGTCTCGCTCCTCATTGTCGGAGTCCTCAACGTTTGCTGCATTCTACATTCTGCCTTTTCTCTGCTTCTTCTTGTTTTTCCATGTATTGCAATAAAAAACATTGCTTTGTCATTCGATGTCCTTACGACCTGGGAAAGCAGTCTTTCCACTGCGCTGTCTTGTCAAATTATTCTCAAGTGCAAAATTAATGCGATCATCCCGATCAGTGGTGCCATTGAGTCTACACTGGGCTAAATAGTAGTAGGCTCGGCGGATTATGCCGGCATAATTATTGGCATGGTGGTTGAAAAGTTGAAGCATAATTTGGCGTCCTTTCGGAGGTAGGAGCATAACCATGATAACTACTAGTACGTTGTATTAGTATTCTAGCATGTGATTGAGTGGTCTCTGCATGTTGATCGGGTAGCGGAGTTCCATCACTGACACAGTGTGCGGGTATTGCATTATGAATTGGTTGAGTAGATAGTTCCGGAATTAATTCCGTGTTCGATATTGTTTATTTTTTACATATTTTTATTTTATTTTATTCGTGTTCGATATTGAATTTTAATTTTAATTTATTTATTGCTTTACAAATATTGTTTTTATTCCATTTCACATTTTTCATTCGTGTTGGGTTTAACTACTCACTGTACGATGATTGTGCTTTGCTTTGCCCGTAAAAGAGGCCTTCACGCTCAAGTATTCTAGCATGTAGGCTGCACAATTGTGTACAATGTACCTGATCAGCGCTGGACGTGGTGGACGTGGTGGACGTGGTGGTCTGCATTGTAAAGGGTTCAGAGGCCACACAGGCAATGTTTTCAGTGAAAAGCAGGGTAGAAATCATTGCAATACATTGTTGTATGCTGGAACTCGTCTTCTTCAAACTGTTCTTTCTCACACTTATACAATGCATGCATGTAGCAGACCATGCGAGTGAACCAGCCTTTATCTGGTATCTCGGGGCAGACGAGATATCGACGGGTAGTCCCCCAAACTCTGTGTAGATCTACCATGGTGTACAATCATGACAATACTGAGTACATTATGCACGATACGAAGTCATGACGGATTTTGGTAACCATGGCTGGACTAAAAAAGTATAAAAATTCACGGTTCGCGCGAGACTCGACTGGAAGCCGGGTTTTCCGTATCCGTAGGAACGCCACCGCCCTTCAAGGATCAAGGCGCAGATGCAGCTCCTAAAGCGGTGGACTACAACTGGTGAAAATTGATTTAGGATTAACTTCCCCTGCAGGCTATAATCTTATCGACAATTCCTAATGCAAATATTGATACCAGTGTATGCAGTTGATCTAGTGGATATTACTCTAAATATTTAGGAGGCATAGTTGATATTCGGTCATGATGGAAGGAACATTTATTAATTTTTTAATATAAAGTAGAAGAAGAAAACACATGGAAACGAGTTATTTCTCTGCTCCAATTTTGTTTGCACGAGCATCAGCATGCACACCCAGCTCTATCACACACAGCAGCCATTTGAACATGCGGTGAATGCAGACCTACTACACAATACTTCTTGCCATAGCTAGATAATGGCGCTATGCGCCTTGGATGAAAGCCAGCGCTTGTAGGCCGGACTTATTGTCAGCAATACATAAGATTAAGGCAGAAACTAAGGCAACGGCAGCTTCAGCATTTGCTAGGCTTCAGGAACCATGCTTTACTACTTCGTTTTTGAAGTACAAAAAACTCGCCGAGCGAAGAGTTACAGGCATATAGACCAGAGCATCATGAGTCACACGACTACAGTCTGCAGCACACACTACAGCGGATAACGGCAGCGCACACTTAGAAGACAGTTGACCGAGGTGGTTGGGTGGGCAGCTGCACACTTGGCAAGAAGAAAAACAATGATCTGCAGAATCACAGCAACAGCACTTTCAACCACAGCACACTGCCCTCGTACCCATTCCGCACGCACGTGCAAAAAATATGAACAGAGAACTAGATTTCTCGTTTCTTTCGCTTTGCTCAGCCAACGAGAAATAAACATTTCTCTGCTCCAATTTTGTTTGCACGAGCATCAGCATGCACACCCAGCTCTATCACACACAGCAGCCATTTGAACATGCGGTGAATGCAGACCTACTGCACAAGACGCACAAAGCATAGCCGGGTTTAGTACCCTATCCATGATAGGAGCAGGAGACTCGGTTGAGGTCGCCGAATACTTTGGCTAGTCACGATGTGCGCTGTCCCCGTATACCCCTCGGCGGCAGTTCGCGTCTCAACAGGCAGATCACTATCCCTCACCAGCAGCCACAGCAGCATCAACAACATGGCACCTGGTGCCCGGCACTTCGGATCCAGGATCCCAGCAGCCTAGCGTAGCACCCGGTGCTACCTGAAGATATAACATACAGCACACAAAGACACGCAGAACTTCCGGAGTAAATGTTCTTATATAAACTTTGGATGGTTGTATTGTATTGTATTCACAATTTATGAAATCGGTCGCACAATATGACATCGGTCTAGAACTAGCCACACTGAATTATTATATCAATCAGAGTATAAATTATACAACATAGCTATGTCAAATATTGCTGCACTCCTCGACGTGTTCGTATCCTTCTTACATTGGCCGCCGATTTTGCTGGCCAGCGGCCGTCGGCTGCTGCGTGCATACTCTGACGAAATGCCCTGGCTGCCCACATCTGTGGCACACCAGAGGGGGCCGAAAGTTACCTGGCCTATGCTGAATGGGACCTGGATGTGGACGAGGTGGGATCCCCATCCCCTGCCCTGCCTGAACATTAGCATCGACCGAACCTAGGCTACGCACACCTCCTGCCACTTTCTTTTTCACCCCTTCTGCTTGGATTGCGGCCTGGAGCCGCTTCTGCTTTTTGGAGCCTGTCACCAGGTCCATGAGCAGGTTGCCTCCTTGGAATGCAGTCGCCACCTGGTGGCCATGGTTTTCAGCAACAACAAGCCACTCCTGCCTCTCTCTTAGTACACGCTCACCTTTTTTCGCTGCTCTTCTCCCTCTTTCTCTTTGACTTCGACTTCATTGAGGCAATGACGTCCAACAATTCCTCGTTCAATGCAAACTGCTTTGCATAGCTGGTCGTCGTCCAGTTCAGCTCCGTGGGTGCTCCGGACTTTCTTTTTTGCCTCGGCGAGCGGGATCTTGAGCTCGACTCTGAGGAGGACGAGGACGAGGACGACGATGATCTTTCATCAGGGGAATTTCCCCCTCGTCTTCTTTTCAGCGACCTGCCTCGTTCTGCCAACCTTTCCATGCCTCTTTCCAGCATTCGGATCTTCATGCCCAAGAGCTCTTGCTCGCTCTCGAACTCCGTGGCTGCCTTGGACGCAGCAGCACTAGCCTGTTGTGGAGCTGCAGTTGGGGGTGCCGAGGGCTGGTGTTCCACTGCCGTTTCGTACTCTGACGACGACGTGGTTCCGACCCTATCGGAGTCGGGAAACTCAAATACGGCTGAGGCACGAGCGCCTCCTCTCTTGCCTCTACCTCTACCACGACCAGAGTTCACAGCTTTTACCTTCCGACCACTCATGTTGGCAACAGGAAAGAACAGCACCAGGCCGATCTACACGACGGAGAATTTTTTTGGGCAGCTACACACTTGGCAAGAAGAAAAACAATGATCTGCAGAATCACAGCAACAGCACTTTCAACCACAGCACACTGCCCTCGTACCCGTTCCGCACGCACGTGCAAAAAATATTAACAGAGAACTAGATTTCTCGTTTCTTTCGCTTCGCTCACAGTCCGTGCGCCAGACCCTGTTTTGGCCCGATTTTTATTTTCTGCGCGGGAACCATACATGCAGACGTTATGCAGGGAAAGATGACGACGCCGGTCAGTAAATTGTCGGTCGATTTGTTGCCTACCTCGAGGCCAGTCGGTGAAATGAGGGCTTCCTTCTTCAAGAAATATGTTGCCAGTCGTTAGTCGGATGCCACTCGTCTTCTAAACATCGTACTTGATGCAACCAGCGCAGTTGGATGGACGGGAGGCGAGGAATTTATCGTTTTCGATTTTCACCCTATTCTGGGTTACCATTACATTGCAGCTGGCAGCACCATGAGGGAATTTTTTGCACAAGGGAGACTAGGTGAATTCAACTCCTCAGAGATATCGCCATGACAGGGTAAGGTTATTTTAGCCCTGAAATTGTGTACAAACCAACGGCACGAAATTATGGAAATATTTATTTTTTCGCAATAATTGCATGTTATAGGGTACCTCACTTCAAACTCTCCAACTACGGTCTCTTCGCTGCATATGTTCACTTCACTTCCAAAAAAAACAAATAATATTAGATATAAATTGAATGCACCAAATTTTCGGGCATGGCCCATCTTCAGGGTGAAAAAGAAAACCATTCAACTAAAGCCAACAAAAACTGAAACGAGTATAAAAAAAAAAATTATATGCTGTGTGGTGCGGTAGTGCTGGAAATCTTTGTATGTGTGAAGGGTAGCAGCAATGGTGAAGTGTGTTGGTGTGTTGGTTTTGTTTAGTTGAATGGTTTTCTTTTTCATTTTTCACCCTGAAGATGGGCCATGCCCGAAAATTTGGTGCATTCAATTTATATCTAATATTATTTGTTTTTTTTGGAAGTGAAGTGAACATATGCAGCGAAGAGACCGTAGTTGGAGAGTTTGAAGTGAGGTACCCTATAATGTGTGAATGGCTGCAATGGAGTCTGCGAGTGCTTAGAAAAGTTTAATTGCATGTTGGTTGAAAAAATGTAGCCATCTTTGTATTGTGGCATCCTGGCGGTGTATTTCGTAACTATACTGCATGACAATATTATTTATGAGAAATGGCAGCGATTGCAGCGATTGTGAACAATGTACAATAAACAGCATTGGCAAAATTGATGCAGAGCTGTATGGTACTTTAGTACAATTTGCCTGTATATTGGTATTTTACACACAATGCATGAAACAGAAGAGCAAAATTATTATTGACTTATCAATTTATAGTTAGGACATGAATATTGTTGCAGTTAGACTGGTGCAGCATGCTGGCTGTTAGAGTTCAATCATTCATGCGTGATATGGATAGGCGGATGTGTTAGAGCTATGATCCATGTGTGCTTCTATTCATGCATTCCCATCAAGAAGGCCATGTGTCAGGTCTATTCAGTACTCTGGTGTCTAGACGTCTGCATTCTATTGTTGTATCACATTACATGGTCGAGTGTTGCCATAGGGTCTTTCTATACCATGTATGTGCGTGCACTGTTATTAGCTATTGCTATCTTTTGTTAGGCAGAGTTGGTTTTAGCCTAGTTGTGGAGATGTTCAGGTTTTAGTTCTTGGAGAGTTGTGACTGTTTTCAGATCATGAGTCAGTGTAAACATTGTGTCCTGGAGATCTTTGTGTGTGGATAATCCCGGTTCCGGGGAGAAACGGAATAAATATGAAACCCATGACCAATGCCAATGACCCAGGGTCTGTGCACCTGCATTCAAATATATAAAAAATCCCTTGTGGCATAATCATGTACGCTGTGCATACACATGCTTGGGGGGCGATACTTGCTGCTTTACATGGTGGAAATAATAATTGTGGTGCTATGCTGCTTGGTATGTGTGTGCGTGCGTGTGTGTGTCTGTGTGCGTGTGTGTGTGTGTTTGTGTGTGTGTGCGTCTGTGTGTGCACACTTCACTTTCCGGCTGTGTATTGATGCCTATGTAGATATCACCATGGTCAACAGGGTCAAACGCTTCCAGCGGACAACAGTGGATCACCTCATTTCTCCCACTGGAGTGGTCCTAGCTTGAAGTGATGTATGACTATCAATTCTATTGACTAGCCTTGAGGCATGTACCAAACGTCAGCATGTCTGTGATTATGTGTGATATCAATACATCACACTTACATTTGAAAGCTATATGCTGGAAGGCAGTCAAGTGGGCTTTTCGTCAAACACAACCCTACCAATGAAATGAAGACAACGGGCAGAGACCACTAATGGTAGGGCCACACAAGGTGGCTGTGCCAGTGGGGAAGACCCAGCTCAAAAAGGTGTTATTGCAAGTTTGATCGGAACAGCACCCTGGTCCAAATCCTCAATATCAGTGAATCTTACTGGTCCATGTGGCTGCTGCCTTGACTCGTGATGCCTACGATTGGATGCAAGCTGCACGAAGTATGTTGCAAAGAAGAGTACAATGGATCTTGAACTTAGCACGAGAGGCGTGCGCTTCGTTGATAACAGCAGAACCTTTGCATGACTATCATAACACTCTCCTTATTGCAATATTTAGCCAATGCTCCATTTGTTGTAGCAGCTACCACACAACTACAAGTATGCATTCATTACCTGGCTGTCTTGTATAAAACTTGTGAATGCAATCACGTGATGCTTTGTGCACATATGCTCCCATACTTTAGCGAATGTGCGCGTGTGTGTGTGTGTGTGTGTATGTGTGTGCATGTTTATGGGTGTGTATGTTCGTGCACGTACATACGTGTACATGTCTGTGCGTTTACATGTACATGCAGACGTGTGTGGGTCTGTTGAAAAAAGCGCATGAAAACGTGATGTATGTACGGGTGTATGGTAAACGTATTCTTTGCTCCATGCGTCCGCCGTGAATGAAGGTACGAGACTTTATGTGTCATAGCTTGTGGCGGTTGTTCTCTAAATAGTAGCACCGTATCCAGGCCATCCGCAGATGCCATTTTTTCACTTCAATTCTGCATTGGCTCAGGTGCTGTGTTTGTAGTGTCATCCTCTCTGCATGAATTATTTATATTTCTTTCCCACCTCAGTACTGTATTTGGCTTGATATTGTTGCTGTTGTACATACAAGTATAGGCACATGCATTGATCTGCGAGGGTTTGTGTTTGGAGCTCCAGCAACCTGTTGAGGTTCGTGTTGTTTATAAATTCGTGGCCTACGGATACAATGGTCTGGCTGGTACATCGCAGAATACTAGGACCCCTTGAACGATTCTGTCGGTCGTTCCTAAGTTCACCAATTGAAGACATGTGTGTGTCAAAATGTGTCAAAAATACAGTGTTGACAAAACGGTTGGTATCACCGCTGTCGGATATTTTGCACAAGCCAAAATTGGAGGATGCACTGTTGGCTAATATCTCTTTCTAAATAAATAAGCAGGAAATAGCGAAACCCTTGTACAAACCAACGGCACGAAATTATAGCATGTTCAGCCAAAATATCAGCGACATAACGAAAACGCAAGCGACGAGCGAGAACTCAACTTCCCGTCATTTGTTATCGCCACGGACAAAACTTAGGGCAGAGAACAACTATTAGGTTGGATTTCGACAACGATCTGAGACAAAGAACTCACGGGGGACGTAAACCAAAGGACGACGAAGGAGACGCCATTGAGTATTCGTCTCGCGATATCTTGAGAAAACTGCAAAATCTGGCAAATCTGGAAAATAAAAGTGCAACTTTTAGACGACTTTTTCTGAACCCGCGATATTCATGTTAAAGCAAAATGGCGTCACGATTTATTGAAAGTGGTATAGTATGATAGTTGGTGGTACGAGTGTTCAAAACCATTTGAACTTCATACTGTTCGTCTTCTTTTTGACATGCTCTCTTTCCATCGTCCTTAGCTTTTGTTTGTTGTGAGCTGTTTTGGCTTTCTCCTGTACCTCTGGGGGATGCCAAGTGATGGTTTTGAGAGGCTGGTGATGGCTGTGAGCGAGAGTTTGCCGATCGGCGTCGTCCTCGCTGTAGCGATGAAAATACTAGTTACTGCGCACCTGGCAGATATCACAACACGTCGGAGCGTCCAGGAGCAAAGGAATCTTGGGTTTTCACTGGAATCTAGTTCCTCCAGCATCGTGTAGCCCACCGTCGGTGAATGGCGGTCCAGAAAGGTCGAACCTGGTCTTCTGTAGCATCTCGCAGTCCTGAGAGGCACACCGTGTACGCCTGCCATGGATTGTACAAATAAAACTCATGCAGTAGTGGACTCTACAGTGATGGGTCTCAGCCTGTATGCTGCAAAAGACACAGGAAATGTGACTGGTGTCTGTACACTCAGTGACTGGACGCCAACACCCCAGTCTTCTCCTGCAGGATCTGTTTGACATTGACATTATGCAGTAGGTCGGCATTGACCTGGTTTGGCAGCTATCGTAATAGTATCTGCCTGGTTGGATGTAGCAGGTTGGCGTTTGCTCGTCGTCCAGCCCGGAATTTTCTTGTAACTCACGGTGGAGTACGCGCAGGGTTTGTGATCATCCCTGTTCACTTCAATATTATCAAACACAACGTTCCCTTTGTCACTCATCTTATCCTAAGTACTGAATTTGCTGAAAATATTGCACCACACTTGTCACAACCTACCGCCACTGCTGGCGGTGGCGACTGGTTCGTCAATGGCGGTGACCAGGCTGACTGACTAGCTTCGAGACAGCGGCCTCGTTGTCAACCCCGCAACAGCCTAAAGGTTGATTTTATCGATCCAGCCTCAGCGCCATGTTGACGATGCCCTAGTGACTGTGTGTCATGGATTGCCTTGCCATCAGCGGTCATTGCCGTCCACCTTGGTGCAGCCCTCAACAACTGGCTCAGCCCATGGGAGTCTCAAGTGGACAAAGTTGTTGCCAAAGTACCTCAGAAGATTGGTGCATCGTGGTGTAGGTGAGCACATAACTAGGACTTCCCAGCGCCTATTTGTCCAGGCTG